AACGTATCTTGGAATTCCGTCTTTCCAAGATAATTTATCTTGGAAATCCATCTTTCCAAGATACGTTATCTTGGAATTCCGTCTTTCCAAGATACGTTATCTTTGAATTCCGTCTTTCTAAGATACTTTTCTTGGAATTCCGTCTTTCCAAGATAAATTATCTTGGAATTCCGTCTTTCCAAGATACGTTATCTTGGAATTCCGTCTTTCCAAAATACGTTATCTCGGAAAGACGTCTTTCCGTGATAAATTATCTCGGAAAGACGTCTTAATAAGTGTTTATTCCATGTTTCCGAGATAATTATGTTGGAAACTCGGAAACTCGGAAGGTCACTTTAAGCTTCCGTACTAATTCGTCAACAAAAAAGTTATTTTTTTAAATTGAATGAATGGCCTTAATATTAGATAGAATTTAAATGTTGTTATATTACGTTAGTTTGATGGTTTACTGTAAGCCAATCAGTTACACTTACATCTACTACTATCTTTATCTTTAACATAAACAGAACTACCGGTATAGAGCGTCGCACCATAGATAGATCAAAAGAGTTATGACAGTTTTTGAAGTGGAGAAGGGGTTGCAGGGTGTTGTGAGTCTGGTCATTATGATATCTTCCTGTTTATTCTTGTCTTTATTTTTCTCTTCTCTTTTTCTTTCCTTTTCTTTTCCTCTTCTTTCTATTTCCCTCCCTCTCCCCTCTTTTTTTTCTCTTATTACCCAGCCCGGTACGACGGCTTGGTCAGCCCGGTAAAAACCGTCAGGGGAGGGGCAGTTTTCCCCTCCCCCCGTGCCTGTCACGACACTGGCTAACACGCCAATCATCCCCCCACCCAATGAAAAATACTTTTCTACGCCACTGCCCAAGGATATGTTTCAAAGAAATTTTACAGACGCGCCCTTTACAGACGTCGATCAATATGGTACACTGGTTGAGAGAACTTGTAATGTTCGTTTGAAAATGAACGAATCTATTTATTATATGTGTGTATACATACATAAATAAATGAGTAGTTGCATGCGTATTCTTTTTTCCATGAATCGATAAATACCAAAAAGAAACGCTCACGAGTCCTGAAAGGTAGGTCTAGAATTCTTTTCTTTTCCCCCTTTTTTTGTTGCCCAAGGGAGAAGTCAGGACCCATGACCCCCTCCCCCAGATCCGCCAATGTGAATTGCGAAAAAATGTAATTCGGTCGGGTACTGGATAAACATTCTCTTTCCCCTCCCCCCCCCCCCCGGTTCCGCCGGCCATGTAATAAGAATGAGAACAATTTACCTGACCGTTTTCAAGTAGCGGTGCGGTCGAACCTTGAAATTGGAAGAATTTTAAAAGTCATTAAAAGACACCTCAGAAGTCGAGAAAGCTCATTTCCCGCCACTTAGGAATCAAAATTTTCCCTGGGAAGAACCACAGACCCCCTCCCCCTTTCTTTTTGGGATTTATCGATTCATGGAAAAAAATCGTATGCAAATACTCAACTATTTTTTTGTGTATGTATACAGACATAAGGCCTATCTACTGTAATAACAATGGGAACGATTTACCTGACCGTCTTCAAGAAGGGAAAACCTTGAATTTTAAAGAAATTAAATTAAAGTCGCTAAAAGATACTTCAGAAGTTGGGAAAGTTAATTTCCCACCATTTAGAAATCAACATTTTCCCGGGAAGAACTTGAACCTCCCTTTTCTCTTTGGGTTCATTGATTCATTATAATAATTTTCAAGAGAGGAAAACCTTGAATTTTGAAGAACTTAAAAGTTATTAAAGACACCTCAGAAGTCGGGAAAACTCATTTCCCGCATTCTCTAGGAATCAAAATTTTCCAGGGGGAGGAACACCCGGACCCCCCTTTCTTTTTTGGATTTATCGATTCATGAAAAAAAGAATACGTATGCAACTACTAATTTTTTTAAATGTATGTATACACACATATCAGGCATTTACTGTAACGAGAAAGTTTACCTTACCGTTTTCAAGAGGGGGAAAACCTTGAATTTTGAAAAACAAAGTCATTAGACACCTAGGTCAAAAGTCGAGAGAAAGGTCATTTCCCGCCATCTAGAAATCAAAATTTTCCTGGGGGAGGAATGTTGACCCCACCACCTAGATTTGGTTCCAGATCTGCATGATTCATATTCCCATTCATCTTATAAGTGGGCCCCCTCACTTTGAAAAACGTTCCGCCGGCCCTGATTATTACAGTAATAGACCTATTATTTGTGTACCGGTATACATACATTCTTTTTTAATGAATCGATGAACCCCAAAAAGAAAAGTGGGTGGGGGGGGTCAGAGACCTCCCCCGAGAAAATTTTGATTAGATGTCGGGAAATGAGCTTTCTCGACTTCCAATTTTCTTATTGTATAAAAAAAAATTTAGCTCACAGATCCTATGCTTTTTGTTTTCAGGACCCACACTTCCCCTCAACCCAGATCCGAGAATGTGAATTGCGAGAAAATGTAACTCGGTCGGGGACGGGATAAACACTCTCTCTCCCGTATCTCTCCGGCTCTTTTATTCCCTTTTGTTTTTTCTTGCATTTCTTCCCGATCATACAAAAATCTGCATAGGCCTAGGCCCTATTATATATTTTCTGCCAAAAAGGGATCACTCAAAATCTTAAATCCATAAATCCCAGGCCAGTTCTTTTTAAGATAGAGAAATGTGATATTGTATGCATGGTTCAGTTTGGATTTTATCCTTTTGCAAACTTTTATAAAGATGTGTTCATAATAATAATAATAATAATAATAATAATAATAATCTTTTATAATAATGATGATGACGATGGTGATAATGATAATAGATAATATTATCAATAACATTAAAAAGCGAAGAAAACTGTGCTAAAGGCGAAAAAGAAAGTTGTGTTGTATTGATCATAATTGTTAAAGCTTAGTAAACTTTAAGTTGTCCTGGATGTTATAAGTAGATCCCTGATTTCCGAGAGAGGTACTATTTCCTAGTTCTCACCTCAGTCTCAACCATGGTGGAGCTGAGATGGTTGTTATATCGCGGCTGAGGTGGGTGGTTCCTCAGTCTGTGAAAGTCCCTCACTGGGTCACCTCTTTCTAACTCCGTTGACCGCCACAGTTGAGTTATTATATAATTATTGTTTGGATTAATTGCTGCGAAGCAGCCAATTCATATTCTTGACAGCAATTTGACCTCTGAAAGGTCATTGTTTGTCAAAAATCAATCGCCTGAGGCAACTGAAAAGCGGAGTTTCCTTCTTTCGTTCTGCCGGGTAAAATCAATTACTTTAGGCGACGTTTGTAGACTAACCTACTCGTACCAACGTCGGCATGTCGCGACGCTGGAGTACATTCAGCGTTTTTACTATATTTCTAGGTTTCCTATTTCTACGTTTAATCGGCTCATGTCTCAGCCACAATATTTTGAGGACAATATTATTTACGAACCCAGTTAAACTTATTTACTAGCCTATTTCAAGTGCTAATTATTACATTTAGGCGACGCTTGTTGTAGACTGGCATAGTGTTTGCGGAAATAAATACCATTTTATACACATGCGCAGATCGATTCGCCAGCAGCGAGTCATCGCCAGCAGCAGCGAGCCATCGCCAGCAGAGAGATGTCACTGCAGCAAAACAGTATATTGTACCAACACTGTTCTAATAATATATAGACAATGGGTCGTGCTCATATTATTTGTTATATTTTTATTATTCATTATTTTTACTTGACTCGCATAAATAATTTTGTTCGAAGAACATTCTATGCAGTTGTACTTCGCAGCACTTCACTTGCAATTTGCAATTTCTAGTACTAATACTATTAGGACTATTTATGTGGCGTCTATTGCAATTTTCACTTTTTCCTCTCAAAACAGTAACGGTCAGAGTGCGCTACTTGCGGATCTTGCATAACGGCTCCCCCAAGTTTCAAAATCCTGGCTACGTCCCTGACCATGGTGAGGCAGATGTGGATAGTTCTGGTTCTGGTGGATGTGGACTCAAAGTGCCCTTTTGAGAAAAACATAGGCTTATTCTACAGAGAGGCATAGCTTTGCTCATATCAATCATGGAGGAAGTAGATAATATTCCTCCATACTTTTTCTATACACAACAGATTTTTAAAAGTGTTTTCCCCAAAATTTGTCTGCATTTTTTTCTTTTCATGGAATACGACTGATGAACTAGTGCAAACTGGTGATCCTTCAAAATTATTTAATTACTAAAAATTGGGCCGTGACCCACTTGCCCGCCCACTTGCCAATTGAGCCGTGGCACCCTGTGCAGTGAGGGAAAAATAACACAAATTTCAGGTTGATGATTGGCCAAATGTTGTTAGTGGATAAATCATCAATAGTTGCGTCACGATGTACTTATAGGTTTTGGATCCGGAGAGGGTGTTAGGCTACTGTTGACCCATGGAGGTCAGACAACAGACTACCAGGAGCCGCAAAAGGATGGGTGTGTCTTTGTATTAAATTGCTGATCATCACTTGGGGTCTGACAGTTTGTTAGTGCTAAAATAGGCCTATGAAAGGTAAGTTAATACCTCATACCTTATGTTTCTGGTGAGGAAAGCTATCTCTAAAGTAGGATAGGAGCAGGTTCATAATTGCCGTACCGCCTCAGGCCCCAACCCAAGGACCTGATCATAGTTAGAGTATGTATTGTACCTAGGAAATTGACAATCACGATGATCATGCTTTACGAAGAAACCCACTTGCAATGCCGTACCAATATTGCGCTTGTGTGATAGTCCTACGTAATTGTTCTATTAGGTCTACAAAGAATGTCCACATATTAATAACATGTGTTAGTAATTATATACCGTCAAACCTCGAACTGAAGCCCTTGGCTTCTTTTTTTTTTTTTTCGAACTTTTCGAGGCTACTTTTGCAAAATAGGGGGGAGGGGGAGGGCTCTTTTTAAAAATGAATGCTGTAAATTTTGGGAATTACTACTAGGGCTATTAAACAATAAGTAGGGCCAATGTAACACCAGTCTGATCATGTGAAATTAATCGGCATTAAATCACCTAAAACCTGTAACCAAGCACATTTTACATTGTTTTTTTCTTGAAACTTGTGGACAGTGTATGTACTGTTTATCTCGAAAATGCTATCTTGAAAAGAAGCCTGGCTTCTTTTTGCGATGGGCTTCTTTTCGTGATGGGCTTCTTTTTCGAGGCTACTTTATGCAAAGTTTAGGCTTCTTCTCGAGATTCCTATTGGGCTTCTTTTTTTGAGGTTTAGTAGTAGCCTAACCAGTTGAATTGTAGGCCTACTACTGCTGTACATTGTTCAGAATCAACTGAACAAATATATAGGCCCTACCCTTTGGCTTAATGTTTTGATTATGTCGCTCTTGAGGATGCCCTCCAAACGGTAGGTAAAAGATTTGCATTGTATTCACAGATCCGTTAAAGAGTTCTCGGAAAGGGCAGCCTGGCTCCACCATTGGTGGGCCTTTGTCATGGTGTAGAATAGATCGTGACAGATGTTGCGCCGAATGCCATTTAGCCGACAAAAAATTCACCAGGAGACAATTGGCCATTTGAATGGACTTTTGCCGGCAGGTTATTTCGCTGAGGCGATCATTTTTGCCTACATGTTGTTATCATTAACAATTAAAGGAACATTAAAAACATACAACTATCCACAATGTAATTGGGCAATTGATCATGTATATAGGAAAACAAAAGAAAAGGGGAACAGGAAACAACTACTGTAAGTGAAAAACAACAAGCACAAGTGTCATTAAGAGTACAATCACTTTATCACAGAACTCTAAAAGACCATAAAATAAATACATATTTCATACCAAGACACAAGATCGGGAACAAGTGGTATACCCAAAGGATAATTTCCAAAGCAAACACTTGCGAATGCATTCATGAATTTGATAGCCTGAATAGCACACAAACATAGGAGAAATGATAAGACCATTAAACACAAGAAAAAACATAACTATTGAGTATGAGATAACCACATGATTCTTCCAAGATATACATGGATGAAATACATACATGACATTTCATTTCATTTTATTTATTTTGTCATTCATTAAATACACAGAGACATTTACAAGAAAATATGAAAAATACAAGAGAAAAATTATACACACCAATGACACGTCGCCAAAAAAGTAAATTGACTATGAGATAACCAGATGATTCTTCCAAGATATACTGTATATAGATGAAATTCATATATGACATTTCATTTCATTTCATTTATTATTTAAAATAATTATTAATTAAAATTTGCAGAGACAAACGAGAATATATGAAAAATAACAAAGAAAAATTATACACATGACAGGATTGCCAAAAAGTAAAATAAATCACTGTCAGGTATATCTCAAAAAGACGTATAAAAAATGAAAATTAAAAGTTAAAAACATGAAAAGATTTAAGAATTTGTATTTTATAGCCAGCTCTATCATTATAATTTAAGTAAATTTCCAAGGAATAAATGAATATTGAAAAAAAGATGTTCTTTAACCTCAGTAGGGACTTTATCCCAAATTCTTGAAAAATAATTAAACACAGAAAATTTAAATGTCTGTACAGGCAAATGTGTGAGTAAAGATTAGGTGATCAGAGTGTCTAGTATTGATAAAACTAAAATACTGTATATCAACATTATAAATTTTAAATAAAAATTTTGAAATAAAAGAGATTATAAAATGTAATCAAGTCTACTTTTCATGGGGATCAATATCAAGGTGTATCAGTCTCTCACTGTATGCAACTTTCTTTAAGCGTCGTGGCATACACATGTGATCCTCATCTTTTGGATCCCTTCTAATGGTTTTAATTAATTGACTGGACCTGTAGGAGTTTCAAGGAGGCATTCCAAGTTCAACAGTAGGTCTCACTAGTTGGATTATAAGGCTGGGCACCCATTGCGCCTGGCGGCAGTCAGCTATCGCTAATCTATGTAGAACGCAACACGACGATGCACACTCAATGAATCGTTATTGATGATGTGGTGACTGCCTAGTATCACACTATATTCTTCTAATGAACCCTATAAGTCTATTAGTCTGAGAAGTTACAGAGTGTTAACATGTTTACTCCAATGAAATTTAGATTTTGATGAGATAGGGAAACCAGGATATTTATGAGAAATATACCCCTTTCATTGGCCTGGCAGAGACGCTGGTGGCGATCTCTAGGCCTACTGTAAATTCAATTCAAATTCTTTATTCATCATAAAATCAATGTCAATTTACAAATAAAACTTTTAAAAATGTTAAAAATAGGATAAAAGATGAAAAGGACATTCATGAAGCCCTAAATGTACAGCAGTAAAAGTGTTTAACCAAAAATAATATAAATAAGTGTACCTTTTGTATAAATACTTAAAAGAAAGTAACGCTAAAAAAAAAATTGTTTTTAAAATTTTAAAAAATAATATAAAAGCAAAAATTTACAACGTATGACAGTACAACCTAACCTAACCTAACATAAAATCTAAGGAAGAATTTAAAAAGCAAACAAACCACTGAACAAGGACATATTTGAACGGGTTTGGGGGTGGTATTTCTAGGACAACCGATTTTGTTAGCATGTTTAACAACAATAGAGGCAGAGGTTTAAATGAGAATTTATAAAATGTATAATACAATTCATAAATAAAATAAAGTTCATACAATTTATGATACAATTCATAAAATATATGATAAAATTCATGACATGATAAAATTCATAAAATGTATGATAAAATTCATAAAATACATGATAAAATTCATAAAATACATGATAAAATTTATAATTTACGGTTTATAAAATGTATGATAAAATTCTGGAAATTGATGTTAAAACTATAAAATTAATGATAAAATTGATGCAGGAATAAAGAGATGAAATTAAAAAAAGCACAAAACGTTCATCAAATTTAGTGTAGTGTCACCAAGTGGTAAACAGAAAATTCAGGTGTATTCATAGAGATATAATAAGAATACTAGAGCGCTAACAGCAATGTATTCGATGTTCGGAATACGCAGAGCTGTGTGTGTGTACCATCCAAGATGGCTGCCATAGATTCAGCCAATCAAATTTCGCCTAAGCGCCGTCGTTTGCAATTGCGCCCTCAATTTACACAGAAAGTTCAGTACAGCTAGTTACCGCTATGTTTGAAACTCGAGCGTTGCGGTGTTTGGGTGTAATGTACACGATTTTAATTTTCATTCCTTGGTACTTTATTTTTTTAATAAGATGCTCCACTTGGCCTCGTTTTGGCTACAATAGTTTAATAATTTGTTATTACCATTACTCATTATCATTATTAATGAAATAATAGTCAGAGGGCTTATTGATATGTAATAATATGTATACTAAGCCTGAAGGTGGCGCTTTGCTACGACGGCCATCTTGGATGGTACACATACATAACTCTGCATTGCAGCGCCATCTTGTCAGCACTCTAGTTGTTTAATAGCTCTATGGGTGTATTAGAGGCCCTTCATACCGGCTGAGGCGTTGTCACCACACTCTTTCACTTTCTTCACCTAGTGTGCACATGTTTAAAGGGATAAGATGAATATGACTATAATAATTAAATATAGATAGAAAAATTATAATTTCTTAGATATTTGTTTTTAGGCATTTAAGCATTGAACAGAGCCAACCCAAATTTCTCTATAATTTATACATTGACAAAAAATGTTTTATTGTATATTGTACAGTATGTCCAACCTGTTGGTCTGTGCCAAATCCACATAAAGTAGTGATGACCAGGTGATGAATAAAAATTGCTGCCCTAAACTGCCTTCCTAAAATTATCATTTAATAAATGATGTAGTATTTTGTGTGTTTATATAGAATAAAGGTAGTCTTTATATAGGACATTTTTACATGTTTTGTTTAAAATGCATGTATTTTTTGTCTACAGATATGTGCATACAATTGATCCTTATCATACTTAATCATATCTGTAGCTATTTCACTGTATTATTGTTTAGAATTTATAGGCATTAATAATTAATCTTTATATATTTTGAATATAAAAAATTGGTCATGTATTCCCCGCTTCTCAAAATGTTTTTAGGTAGCGAAACTTTCAGACTCCCTATTACTTGGTGACCCAAGGCATAATATTGCACTGCCACTAGCCATAGCACTTGGCTCCTAATTTGTCAAGTAAAGATATGCTGTTGTATTTCTACAGTCAATATAATAGCAAGTTGAATACAAAGTAGCTGTGATAATCATTTAAATTTTTATTTACTCAGGCAAAAGTACACAAAGTATTTTGTTATCGTCGATCGTGTGCAGAATTGTTCCATTTTATATTATAGAGTATTTATTGTACACTCGTAATTTTAAATGTTTAATGTAAAACAATGACAAATTTTTGTAAAGTTGACTGGGTAAATAATAATTGAAAAATGAAGTTTGTACATCCCAAAAAGGCTCAATCTCAAAAGAAAAGAAGACACTCTACATTTTAAAGACGATGTAACTTGTATTTACTGGTAGATTGTGTTAATGTGAGCTATGTTTCTGCCTAATTTTAATTACCTTATGAATCATTGGAGAGACTAGTGACAGTGTACCATTGAGATTAGATTTATTTATGATGCCTCGATCTACATGATAACCCAGCAGCAGGTATTTTAAAATATTTTGTAATCATTTATCCACATTATTAGGCTCAAAAATAGTTGTCTGGAATTTGGTCTATTTTGTGAACACTTCCTTTGAAACTTACCTCTGTAGCATAAAAGAACAATAATAGAATCGCCTTGCTCACCTATATACCTGTCTCTTATACACATCTAGATGTGTATAAGAGACAGACATTTTAAAGACGATGTAACTTGTATTTACTGGTAGATTGTGTTAATGTGAGCTATGTTTCTGCCTAATTTTAATTACCTTATGAATCATTGGAGAGATTAGTGACAGTGTACCATTGAGATTAGATTTATTTGGATTGACAATGAATTTTTAGTTTTCATTTTCTAGCTACATCTGGGCGTATCTCTTGAGCTAAGTCCTTAAAGTCAGAAGCAGGTTCGCAACCATCACAAATGGTTTGGTGACACATGGTTTGAGAAGTGGGGATGTACTTTATATCGTATTTGTTGAACATTATTAACTCAGTATTTTAATTTTATGATTTATAAATCATTAAACAGAGATAAGTTGTAGTTTGGTATTGATTAATGATAGACTTAGCGTATGATTTTGAATAGCTTATAATATAGTAATGCTTTCTTATAAAGTGTTAAACAGTATCCAATATTTCTTCATATCTTTCAGATTTTTTACCTTAATATTGAAAGATGATAATACAGGTATTTCAGATGTGTTTCTTCTTCACATTTATTATGATGACAAGTTCAGCGACCCTTGCTCATACTTACAATAAATACAGAGATCATGCTGGAAGCTTTTCAACAGTGTTATTGGATGTTGATAGTAATAATGTATTAATAGGTGGTGTGAACAAAGTGTATAAACTTAATAGTGACTTAGAGTTGTTAGTACAAGGATCCATAGGACCAAAGTTGGACCATCCTGATTGCACGTTCCCACCACCAGCTGATTGTGCCCAAGAAAGAACCATAAGGAATAATTCAAACAAACTTCTCCAAATATATGATGATAAAATAATATCTTGTGGAACAGTTTATCAAGGCAGTTGCGAGTTTTTGTATCGCTCAAATTTGACATTGATAGCGCAGGAAATCGTGCCCGTAATAAACACTGAGAGCAAAAGTGCATCAATTGTTTCTTTAGATGCTGAACCAAAGTTGTTTATTGGAACATCACCGGTAAGTGAGCCTGACTTACCAGCATATGCCATTCGCTCTCCTTTGAATTTTGAGGTATACAAAAAACAATCAGTAACAAAGGCTCAGAAGAAGGCAACTGATGATGCAATAAAAGGTGGATTTTTAATTGATTTTATCCATGCTTTTGTAAGCAACGAAATCAACTACTTTGTCATTGTCTATGATGAGAAATATGGTGAAACTATGCACAAATATCAAACGTACATTACGCACCACTGTCAATCTGACCTATCTTATCTTTCATATATTGAGCTACCGTTAGTGTGCCTCCACAATGGACAGAGTTACACACTAGCTCAGTCAGCTTATCTCGCTAAAAGAGTTCCATCACAGTCAAATTCATCGGGGCTTGTACTCGTTGTAACATTCGGAATGTCTGAGAATGCAGCAAGCTTAATACCAGAAAGAAAATCGGCAGTTTGTATGTACTCTCTGACGGACACAATTGAGTATTCATTTCTAGAGGCGTATAAAGCTTGTGCTCGAGGAAATACCATGTTTAAAACAATCAAGTGGGCAGGTTATAGTCAAAACACGTGCATTGACAATTCATATTGGGTAAGTGTTTTTTTTAAAGATTTTTGTAGTCATGAATAATCAGGGTACTTTTAAAGTCAGTTTTTTTTTTTTTTTGAGAAATTGTCAGCATTCTGTATTTCATGTTTTGTGTAAATAAAATGCATTTTCATGAATTTTTTTCATGAATTTTCTCATAAGAATGAAATAAACTATTTTGAACTAGAGCTTAGAAATTTTATTGATAAAGTGTTGTATGTAAGATGAGTAAATATTAGATTTACATCTTCAATTTTTTAGAGTTGGTACCTAGAGTCAGTGCAGGTACCCTACTGCCATGACCTGGAACAAATTCCTGATCTTGGGGGAAATGCTCCAATCACAGCTGATGCCATATACCAGGAAGTTAATACGCTTTTCACATCGGTTGTTTTTCAATATATTGATGAGGTACAAGAAAGTGTAATATTTCTTGGAGATGATGAAGGCAGACTTACAAAGGTAAAAGTTTTTAAATATCTTTCTTTTGAGCTGATAGACAGTATTTATTTTATTGCATTTTATTTAACTTTTACAGGCAAAAAACAAAACAGATGAACAAGCACCTCTACAGGGCCATCTTACCACCGGAGTGAGATAAACTGAAACTACAAAAATAAATATAATTTGAATAAGAATAAATATATGTCCATTTTACAAATAACAATTAAAATTAAGAAAAGAAAAAAATCATAATCTAACAACAACTAAAACAGTGACAAAATGAAACCCAAGTACAGATATTATCAGGGAAAAAAAAATAGATTCAATTTAGAGTTGTAAAATTCAATCACTTTGTTTTTGAAAGATGGAAAATAAGAATCCGATCGAATTGCTAAAGGAAGATTATTCCAGATGGGCACGATTTATGGGATTTTGTTTTGCATCGAGGGACAGATAACATTAAAGAATCAGTATGGTGCCAGGATGGCCCTGTGAGGAATTAAAATGCACATAGTCATCAATAGAAATATCATCAATTCCAAAAGAACTTTTAAAAAAAATAAAGAGATCTCTGATCTCGCGCCTAAAATATTTATATTATGAGGGTGGGGATGAACACTCACCCTTGTTTTAGAGCCCAAATCCTTACCACTGTTCTGTCTGCATATTAACATATTAATATTAAGTTTTTGTGGTACGGTTTGTAACTTGGGTTGTAAACAAACATAGAAAAAATATCATAGCGTAGTTCTAAGGTATGATTTAGAAAGGTATGCATTTCTTGTGGAAATTTGAATGCTTATGAATGAAATATGACATTATTTCTCATTTGGAACAACATAGCCATTATAAATAATTTTCTGTATAAATTTACATACTGTACATAAAAAAATTATTCTCTATGATTTTAGCTGCGATTGAATTCGGCCAATGCAGCACAGAAATATGAGAAGTTAACGATAGATGCAGGAAGCGTTGTAATAAGGAACGGACTTGTATTTAGCACTGATGATGCCTCGATCTACATGATAACCCAGCAGCAGGTATTTTAAAATATTTTGTAATCATTTATCCACATTATTAGGCTCAAAAATAGTTGTCTGGAATTTGGTCTATTTTGTGAACACTTCCTTTGAAACTTACCTCTGTAGCATAAAAGAACAATAATAGAATCGCCTTGCTCACCTATATACGCCCAGCATGAACCGAACAACATCCTGGTTTCCTTTGGGTCTATAACAAATCTCGGTGAAAAGGTGAGAGGGTGTTTTCTAGGTACATCACTGCCAATTTGTTTATTTTATCTTAGTACCAAATTCAAGGGTTCATGGCTTAATGTGGCTCTCCCCTTTGGTAAAATGGTAATCACTGGCCTAAAATTCACGACTAAAGTATCAAATTAATTTAAGCTTCTAAAGTGGCTATTATCAAACATTCATGAAGAAACTTAATTAAACTAAACTAAAACCAAATATTTGTTAATAATTTTTTGGTACATTTGCATTTGTTTTGTTTGTTTTTATTTGTTTTTTCTTCTCTGTTGTTGTTAAGCGCCTCGAGGTTGTGTCAACGTGAGGTGCTATATAAATCCAGAATTATTATTATTATTATTATTATTAAATATTATTTTGCATCAAGCGACCATACCAGGTAAAAAGTAATATTTAATGTAAAAAGTGCAATATTACTATGCCTCATAAAAATTATTTTAATGATTAGGTAATAATAACATTGCATTTGATGCTTGTACAGTACATGAAAATAACCTAATAATATAGCATTTAACTAAGGTGAAATTTACTCTCTGCCTTATTATTCATGTGTGTTCTCCACTAAGTGATCATACTTTTTCGATTTTCATTCTTATATTTAATGTTTTTTTTCAAATCTTTAATCACAACAGATTACCAAAATACCGGTAGAAGAATGTGAGCAGTATACCACCTGCAACGAATGTCTTGGTGTCGGTGATGGTGCCGGTGATCCATACTGTGGTTGGTGCACACTTATGAAAAGGTAAGAAAAAGCATAATCATTTAAAAATATTTTATTCACTTGCAGAGAACATTCAAGTTGATTTTCAAATTAAATAAATAATTTGGGAAATGAAGATTTCTAAAATGTTTATATAGTATATATAGTAAAGTTAAATATATGAGGCTTGCCTTCCCGAAACCAGTGTACTTTTGCTGATTATGAGTAAGAATGTGTATTGAAAGTCGATTCCAGTAAGGGACCCATCAATGTGGAGAATAAGATTATATTGAAAAGTAAATTTTCTTTTTGGGTCACTGATGCTCTCTGAGATGGCAAACCTTATACAGTACAATGAATTGTAAATGTCATCAGGTTTGTAGTAATTCTCAATCTCATATAATGAAATTTTACTTATTTTCTCCTAGATTAGAAAGTAAAGAGATTAAATTTTCTTTAATAGCAATTTTAATATTAATTTCTTTTTCAATAAATATATTATGTGTTGATAAACAAATACTTGATATGATTAATGAACTGAACTTAAATTTAAACCAGAAATTTAATTGTGGACATTACTCTTCTGATTTTTAGAGTTAAGTCGTATGCCCTTTGCATGAAGTTGCTTGTCTGAATCATACATATATACATAATTTCAGATGTACACGCAAGAACCACAAGGCATGCAGAGGAGCCCATAAAGTTGCAAAGAATCGTTGGTTGAATAGTCTGGACCAGTGCATCCAGATTAGCAAAATTGAGCCAGCTAATTTAGCAAGCAATATGCAGGTTGAGGTGGGTATTATTTTATGATGGATCTATTTATAGGTTAGGTTGGTTGTCCGCATATATTGTGAGTCTGCATATACAGGACCAGTACACTTTTATATGAGTGAACATGGACAACAATTAGGAAAAATTTAACAAATTGTGTAAGTAGCTTAAGATATTTTTGATTCATTAAAATTTACACAAGTTGTTTCTGTCAGGTATTTGGGCCAATGTACTCTACTACTCTTGGTATCAGATCACAATGAACAATAAATGCTTTTGAAAATAGGCTTATTTCTATAAAAAAAAAACTATACACACACGATTTTGGTTAATATTGGAAACTTTGTTAAACTGTATTGTTCAAAGTTTTCTGTATCATCGGGGAACATGAATATATGTCAAATGTGCATCAATTCAAGCAAGATATTCATTCAAAGTAACATTTATTTGATTCCTTTTCCAGTTAAAATACAACCAAATATGAAATAAAAAATCAAAACAATACAGGGAAAAGGGAAAGGGCACTCTTGTGGGGGGTCATGAATCACATTTTCATTTGTTGTCACTATTTACCTTTCAAAAAACTAAAGCTTGTTCTTTAAATTCATCATTATTTCAAGTTTCTAGTCAAGCGTGTTTACCATGGTACCATGGTACCATTGGTACCATGGTAGGTGGTTTACTAATACAAAATGCTTCTAAAAACATACTGTATTCTAAGGTAATCTGGTTGATCGACTAATGCAAATGCCTAGCCTGTCCATCACCCTCCCCTTAGACAAATTAATTCATGATAGTATGGTTACTTAAAGATAAGCAACATGTTAAGTTAACTGCGTGAATGTCAGAAGACTTAAATGAAGGGTTTATATACCATCTTGCATGAACTCTTAGTGGACAGGTATAAAAGGTAAGCATATTTCTAGGTACAGGTAGATATGGTTGTAAGAAGATGTCCACAAATAATAATCCAGAGTGTTATTCACACCTCTTGTTGTCATGGCAATAGAGATGTAAATAAAAGAGCTTTTGATGAACAGAAGACAAATCAGTATCCATAGAAAAGACCTTTATATAATGATTTTTACCTAAATTCCCAAGTTATTCACATTAAATGCTTTGATATTTTTCAGTTGACACTGACTGTCAGGAGCCTCCCAAAGGCACCAGCTGAAACATATTTCTGCATCTTTGAAAATATTCAAACAACTCCAGTTATATTGATCGACAGTTCAACTACACCCCCGACACTAAAATGTAGAACCCCTCCTGAAGGATATATCCAATCTGGAGGTTAGGAATATGTTTTCATTTGCTATTTTAAAATTTTTCCTAACATTCCTTTATAGCATTAGCAACACTTTAAGGCAAAATTCTTAAGTTTAATTTAAAATTAATTTGGTATAGTTTACTGGGAATAATAATGATCTTTACAGCAATAAACAAGGGAAGGCCGTGATAGAAATCTCCATGTTAAACACCGCTGTGTCAGTGGATTGTTTATATCCAGTACCCAAGTTAGGTCATGTGACACCCATTGCTAAATCCCTCTATTGAATGTATTTCTGTTTTCAGAGGATGGTAACTGTTTAACATTAAAGTAAGATGTCTCTTAACACATAAATTTTAACCATAATTATAATAAAATGTGAAACATAATTGAATGTTCTGTAGTTATCTGATGAATGTACAGTGTATACTGTTATTTAATATATCATAATTATGTCATACAATATTTAGTTAAATCAAATTCAATGTTTTAATTTAAATTAGGCATTTTTATAATTTAAAATAAATAATTAATAATTAGTAATCTTCAGTTGCTTTCTGCTGCTAGGGTCTCTGGAGGTTAAGCTTTCCTTACTATCAAATGAGACCAACATGGAGTTTGTCAGCACTGAATTTGTCTTCTATAACTGCAGTGCATTCAAGGATTGCACTAGTTGCGTGTCAAGTAACTTTGCCTGCGATTGGTGCATTTATGAGAATAAATGTACAGGCAATTCCCAACAGTGTAAACTACAAGGGGTGGTTGGCGGACAAGGGGTATGTATCCACAACATTGTCGTCTTTGTTGTAAACACAAAGCTAGGATTTTATAACTGAATTCATTAATGTTTTCTTCAACAACATAATTAGAAGTGCGGTGTTTGTCAAATTTTGTAAATTTGGATTTTAATTTCTTCTTATAGAACGCTCTTACCAATGCAACAAAATTTGGACCCGATAACTGCCCTCGATTAGCAAAGCAGGATACAGAGATTCTTTTGCCTGTGAACACCAGAAAAGCTATTGCGGTTGTGGCTCAGAATTTGCCTACACTGGAGGTATCATAGTCACTGTGTTGTCTTCCAAGAGATTGGAAAGGAAAAAACTTCTTAGTCAAGGCATTTTATGTGTCCAGTCTTACTAATGTTGTGTGCCAATATCAGTCTACAGTGAAATTTACATAAGATAGCAGGCTAGGTCTCCACATCACAGGGGCTATTATATAAAACAAATATTGACTGCTCCAGATTCAGGAAACAGTGAAATCTATAATAGATTTCACTGTTTCCCAAATCTGGAGCAGTCAATATTTGTTTTATATACCTCATACATAGATTCTACGAGGCCTAAAAAAGGAATGAAACATTATTATGCAATAACATTAAATACTCAAAAACATATTTTTGATTAGATTATAATCGTTAATGGTCAGTGTATTGACATGATTAAATCATGATTGTATAACTACAGTAGTGTACATAGAAGATTCTGTGATTGTTTTATTTTGCCGGATAATGGCATCAAAAACATTCACTATACCGAGAAATGTTAAAATTTTTTCACTCACGTACAAGATCAAGATTCAAGATTAACTTTATTTCTTAAATAGCAGTTTAAAATTGAATGCTGAGAAATTTACAGATACATTAAAAACTACAAAATATACAGGTAAAATTTAGTCAAAATATATAAAATTAAAATTAAATAAGCATATATAATAAGCATGTATACTGCTTTGTATCTTAGGCTGGCCACACTGAATATGAATGTTTGCTGGATGAAGAGGTTGTGAAGGCAGAAGTGACAGCAGATACTATAAGATGCAAACTCAATGAGGTATGCCTAGTAAACATGTTTGTAACTACAGTATATTAGTAGCGTATACAAAAAACTATAGGAATAGTTCAACTCATACATCTATTTGATTATTTGCTATCTAATCTTCAATTGAAAGAGAAAAACTTATTGAAATTTACTTTATAAGTATTGCCATTTTTTTCTATTTCAAGTAGTATACATTTAAACATCAGCCCATGAATTTCACGTCGGCAGTTGGCAATAGACCTTTCCGCTAAGCCCCGCCCCTTGGATATTGTTGCTAAGGTCCCACAAACAACATCATTTTGTAGAAGAAAACATGGCTGGCTGTGCGGTCGCGGGCACAGAGTGGTTGTTAGGTATTCCGGACAATATCTGTTTTACGTTTCTGCCGAA